TTTGAATATTTACTTACGATCCCAAACTATATACTGCTTAAGTCAACACTGCCCAAATCTGATTATTTTTTCTTTCAGAAACCATATTAGGTAATAAAAGTTTCTCATAAAAGTAGTTACTGAGGTCAGCGGGGAGATGTGGAAGCAATTTGCATTTAAAAATGTCTAAAGAGGAAGTGAAACTAGAGAAACATGTTTAAAATGTATGGAAACCAGACGTTTTACCTTAACATCCTAAGAATCATTTAGAGAAGCCTTAATTATTTTATTTGTGCATTTGCTAAATGCACTACACCCTTATTAGACCTTCTGGGTTTGAATTATGGCCCCAGAATTACAGTCTGCTTAATCAGCTTATTACCAAAGTGGCTCAAGTTGTCCTGCAGCCCATAAATCTAATTTTCCTGTAGTCCATTCACATAAACCACATGGGCCATCTCCAAATTGTGCTCTGTGCCTTGGAAAGCATCCCAGAGGCTTTCTGAAACCCCCTCTATTTCCCCTGTAAACTTGGCTATATGATCCATTATGGATTAGTTGGAGGGGTAAATGGCATGCCACCAGGAAGAGACAGATAGTTGACACAGTTGAGATCTTTTCTTTGTCTCAGTAGTATTGGTTGCTTTTGTAAGAAGAAAAACAATTTTATTTCACAAAAAATGTTTCTGAGATGCAAAGGCATTCATTAAATAAACACAGAAAAGGGGAAAAATTCAACAGCATCCTGTTTGTGTATTTTGTGTGTCTGTGTGTGTGTGTGGAGGGATGTCAGTATTTGCATTTTGTACCTCAGTTAAATGAATGATGAAGCTCTGAACGCTGTTGTACTAAACTAACCTTAAAATATATATGAGTAGTGCATTAACTACACAGATCATTTTTTTGTTCTTTGCTTTTCAAATGTTTGTCAATGAAATGAATAAAGGTCATTAAATCTACAACCAAATCTTTATAGTTTTTTTTGGCCTGTAATGTCAACTTATTTATTTTTGGGCCGTAATGTTAGCAAGAGCCACCCGTTGTGTGGACATATAGACATATTGACAAAGAATAAGGGTGACAATCTTTTTGGAATAGAGCCATGTGCCCTAATTGCCCCAAGGACCGTATGCTGGATGTAATCGGACCTGACATCAGGGGCCTGTGGTGGAAATTTGTTTGCGCTTGCATGTCCCGAAGGCCCCTCACTGGGTTTGTCCCATTCTTCTTTCTTCCTCGTGCATTTAGAAGGACAGAGCTCAGGCAAGGGCACTGTGCATGAGTGTGTGTATGCACTGTGCATATGAGTGCGCATACTGCCCTGTATTAACATAAAAAATTAAACACACACAGAGTAGAAATGTATTTTCTTTCATAACTTTTCCTATTATTTTTTTCTTCACATGCCTTTAAAAGTTTTAAAACCTTTCTTCACACTGGAAGGAATTAAAGTGGCATGACTCTGTCATGTTAAATGGACTGGGTCTTCACATAAGCACCTTTTTCTATGCTTTTTCTAACATTCTAAAGTGCTTTTTATCTAATATTTACACACATTCATGCTCTGATGAAGGCATTGGAGAGCAGCTTGGGGTAGTATCTTACCCAAGGATATAGACATACAGACTGAAGGCTTAGTAGATGTCACTACATCTACTCCTCTACTTCCCGAGCTGCAGTCAACCCTGTACAGTCATGCATATTTCAAGACTTTTGCATTTACAAACCCAGGAGACTAACTGGACCTAATCAATAAAGTGGGAAGAGAAATAAATAGCAAGAAAGACACTATGCTTATTATCACATGACCTTAATATACATAAAATCAACATCCTTAGCAAGGAATGCAATATTGAACTTTCAGTTGTACTTTGTAATATGATTCCTTGCCCTAACTGCAAACATGAAGGTTTTAACAGTTATCTGGCATACTTGTAATCAGAGATGGGCAGTAATTCATAATACGATTAGTTTTTTTTAAGTAACGAGTAAAGTGAGGGATTACTGTTGCAAAAAAGTAATTAGATTACTGTTACTTTCCCATAAGCACTCTACGTTACTAAA